TCTGGGGCGATTCATATCGAATCGAAACTGTTTTTTGGCCAATTTTAGCACGCCCTGGTGCCTGCTGCTTGGCGATCGTCATCACCTGGATGTGGAGCCCACAGAGCAGCCCCAGAGGAGAACCAAAAAACCAAAAAAACGAAAGAAAAAAAACCGAAAAACCGCCCTCTGTTTAGAATCAGTCCATCAGGCAGAAATGCGCGTCATTGGCGCACGTCAGTCGAACGGATTGGGGCCTGGTATTGGGGTGTGTGTGGGAGATGGCAGGTACTATTTTTAGGCATGAGACGGGCCGCTAAAGTATTTTGGTCATGAGTTCAAAAACAAGCAGAAAGACAGACCAACGGACGGATGGACGGACGGACAGTTTTATTTTTCCAACAAATTATTTATACGCAAAAAATAAATTTTGCACGGAATGAAAATTGTTATTTATAGGCTGGACGGCGAGAGACGACCTTGTTGGCCAAGATCTTTCTTTGGAGCACGCCGTGAAAGCGTCCTTCACCCTCAATCCAATTAAATGCCAGAAAATTCCGAAACCATATCGTAGCAAATAAATCAATCTCCTGTCAAACAAAATCAAGTATATAAACTATAAAAATTGTAAATACTCTGAAGGTTACACAAAACTTATGGAGATTGTAATTGAAAATATTGAAAATCACTCAATTCTAGATCTACCTACTCGATGATATTTTTAGAATATCATTTCGGATATATCGGATGCATCATCGCTTGTAAATATACATTTTTGATTGAATTTTTTGTAAATATTTTGAAGATCTGCGCCCTAGAAATACAGAACGTGGGGGAGCACAAAGACTACTTTCAGCAGATGAAATAATCCTTTAGATTCCAGTGGCGATCGTTCATTCTTAAATATAGATCTTAAGGTCCGCTTTCTGCCGCCACGCGCCCTCACAGTGGGTCGCTCGACACCCGCCGCCCGCCGCCCGCCGCCATTTGAGCCAATTTTTTGCTAATCTAGGACGACTTTTTGTTTGTCTCCTGGTCAACCTCAAAGGACCTCACACAAAAAAGATGCGACCAGAGAATGGAAAACGGAAAACGACTGCCACGCGAACCGCCAAAGAAAGATGCAAATCTTTCTGGCCAGAGACACAAAAAACAATTGTAACAAAAAATTAGAGCAGACCAAAAATTAGATGTGTGTTGTGTTGTGTTGTGTTGGCCCGTTCCAGGATCTAGAAATTCTTGAAAAAAATTCCCAGCCAGAGATGAAAAATCATTCGCGGAATCGAGAGCCAAACAGCCAGCGGGTCACTTGGCCTTGTTTTTTGCCCGGAATTTGCGTAAATGGGACTGCATTTGCAGGTCTCAGGACTCGCTCTCAATGTCCTGAATTTTTTAACAACATGCCATAAACAAATGTGCGCAGATTTTTTCAGGACTCGCAGGACCCTCGAGGAATGCACGGGGAATGTAGTTCAGTGGCCGTTTTTATGGGCAAACTAGATCTAGGTTTTCAGGTCCGTCTGATCTGCCTGATCCTGGGTTTTATGGCCCTCCTCCTGCTGCTGCTGCTGCTGCTGCTGTTGCTGGTTGTTGGCCGGCGGCTCGAAACTATTGCATAACATTGCGTTCGACTGCGGATGAGGTCATGAGTCCTTACGCAAAGCTACGGGGCAACGAAACGATGCTCTCATTATGTCATAAGCGAGCTAGAACAATGGGCCCGAGGCTCGGGCGGAAGATGAGGGCAGCCTCGATCGAAGGATCGAGCATCAGAGAGGTTCGGGGATCGTAAAAACGTTTGCGAGACGGCGTGCGGCAGTTTAGGTAAACGCTCTGCTAACGCATTCAACACCTCGCACTCCGCCAGAGTGCTTGCTTCCTGTTCGCAGGATCGGGATCTCTCATGAATAAATTCGAAAATTCGTAGGTGAATAAATTCACACTCGAGCATCTAACGGTAGATCAGACATCCGCTGCGGAAACAAAGAGAGGGATTTTTTAATTGCCCTGCGATTCATTAGCATCCGTCTAACGTCAAGACAGGTAGCCCCTAGACACAGCCATCATCGTCCCCTGACAATTATTTCCGGCACTCTTTTTGTTCCCTCGAAAAATCCCTTCTTATCAAGATCGCCTTCGGGGTACGCCCACACGGCACTCGGATACTGCCGAAGCCCCGAAACCCCGAAACCCAGGAGAGAAAATCATTTTGTTAGCATCTAGTTTTGCGGTATGTTCTCTGATGATGCACCAACTGTGAGGCAAAACCAGCAAGGGGGCCTGCCGCAAGAGGATCGATCCTACACGTGTTACAAGAAACCCGCACTGGACGCCGCGGCGTCCATACCTCCTACTCCTACTCCTACTCCTCCTTCTCCTCCTCCTCCTCGTCCTCCTCCTCCTCCTCCAGAAACTTGTCGGCACAAACGGTGACGATTAAAGCCAAAAGCCAGCTCTGTACTGCTGCTGCTGCTGCCAGAGAGACCCCAGAACAAAACGTTAAAGCAAAATTAATACCAAAGGCAGTCGAGTCGTAAAAAAAACGAGCAGTACGAAACAGAACAGAAACAGAAACAGAACCCGTCCATGGGATCCTTTATGGCCTGGCACTGCACTCCGCAGATTGAGCAGCCCAGATTTCAAAGGCGAGCGCGTGATCACCATCAAAATGCTCGTGGAGGCAATTTAAATTGCTGAGCCCCGAACGGCGGCGGTGGCGGCGCGTGCAGTTCCAGCAATCCGAGAGTCGAGAGTTGAGAGTCGAGTCGGGGTCCCAGGTAGAGACACGATCCAGAACCTGCTGCTGCTGCTGCTGCTGCTGCTGCTGCTGCTGCCGTTGCTGCTAACGATAAGATCCGATCCATCCCCAACCTCAAGAGGTACAGACCAAGAGAGAGAGATGGCCTCCTCGCGTGCTCGGGTGTTGAAACATCTTTTCTTTTGGACTCTCCGTCCGTCTGGCTGTCCGTCTGTTTATTTATACCACGCTGCTGCTGGTGCTGCTGCTGCTTCTGCTGCTGCTGGCAGCCTTGACACTGACGAGATCCGTCTTGGGGCCAGTCGCCAGTCAAGGTTACGGTCTAGGCAGTGCTCCAGCAGCCAGCGCAACTTTGTTTGGTGTTAATTTATGCCTGAACTCTTTGACTTCTTTTCTCTAAATGTGCTGCGGGCAATTTTCAGCAGGATCTAAAGCAGTTAATAGGGCATCAGCACCACAATGTAACCTACCAAAAGGTGCGTCCTAGAGGAACTCATTAAAAATAAATGGCCCAACCGATTATTAAATAATTTAAAGGTTAAAATAATTAAAGGTTATATAAATATCCTAAATACTCCATCCTTTTTGAACGAGAAATCATAATTTGAATAGCGCGCGCTTGGTGCACTGCTTAACAGAGAGTGTTACGAGCAGTTTCTTTCAGCTAACAGCAAGACGTGCAAGCAGTGTATTTGGTTGCTAGTACCAACCAATTGAGATAGAGAGCGCCACTCAAATTTTCGCGACATCTAGCGACTTTGAAGCGAAGCTTGGGACTCCAGCTGTTCGGCGCTATATTTACTATTTTGTAGTTTGGCGGACAAAGTGAAAATCCTGATCAGCGTGGTCCTGACGTCCTTTTTGCAGAAAGATCTGTTCAAGAGCGGGCGAATAAGCTATTGAAGACGTAGGGAAATCAGCTTTCAGTTCATTCCCAGCCCTGATATGAAGATCAAGCTCATCATTGTAACGACAATGCCATGGCAGAGGCCGCAGGTCTCCCGCCTGCTTAACGATTCGTATTTGATCAGCGGTTGCCAAGATAACCTCGATAATTGGCGAGGAATACGAGGATTTGGTCCACCAAGAGACGATTTGGTCTTCCTGCAGCTAACGGAGGGACAAACCACAGCCAAAGAATCCTAGCCCCAAGTACAGCTACTCTAGAAGCTAATCCGCAGCCGTCTGCAGCTGTTGAGCAATCCACGGCAATCGCGAAAGGGGTTCCAAACCCATCTTGAGAGGGGAGTTGACTGTCTTGGAGAGTAGTAGGTAGCAGGGAATGGCTATGGTCTGGTCTGCCTTTGCTTTTTTTGTACGCAGGTACCTCTGGCCCTCCTTGAGATTAGTGTTTGTGAAGATGGGGCCATAGATGCTGTCCGAAGGCCAGCATGCGAGCCAGTGCACCAGTGCACCGTCTTGCTGCCCCCAAACTGATGCTCGTCCGTCACCTGGTTCTGGCAGATCTCGTGGGCGTTGTACTGCAACACCTGGAGCAGGCCCAGTAAGGTGGTGGCCATCTGCAGCTCCACTGCCGTCGCATTGAAGCCCTAGTACTGCACCCTTTGCAGGATGCAGGATCAGCTATACTTTTGTACCAAATCTCGATTTTTATCAACACAAACAAGGCATTAATATCAATTTTGGGGATAAGGCTAAGATAATTGCAGATCAACAGCAGCTGCTGGCACTTCTTAAGACCCAACCGTTTGGCTGCTGCTGCTGCTGCTGGTGGTGGTGGTGGGGCTGCCTGTCCAAAGAAATCAACGCCAATTGGCATCAAAACAAATATTTGCCCCAAGTGGCAGTTAAAGCTCGGTCTCCCAGCCTCAGGTCTGGGGCCTAATGACAGGATCCAGATCGGGCTGGGGCAACGGCTGCTGCCTCTTCACACTCTCTGATGGGAGCCAAAAAGGTGCGAGAGCTGGCACACCTTTATGGTGCCACAGGCAACATCCACAGCCACAGCTTGTTGACTGTGTCAATTCTGGGAATGTGCCGTCCAGAAGGTTCCAGGCAATAAAACGTTGCACCAAATTAGCGCTTTATTGCGTGTTTGTTTGGTCAGAAACCCCAACCGGAAAGGCTGCCAATCCTCGTCAGCGTCTGCTGATTGTTTGGCACCTCCCAAGCCCCAGTGCCAGTGCCAGTGCCAGTGCCAGTGCCGTTAAGTTCTTGTTAAGACGATTATAGCCGACGGGGCATGAAATTTACTGGAACAACAGCAGCGGCTGGGCCATAATTCATATAATCCGCAAAATCCATATAATATAGGGTAAGCTTTTATTGACATTGAAGCAGCAGCAGCACCTGCATGCGGTTTTTATCACACAACTATTTACACATCATTTTGATCCTTTTGATCCTCGTTTCTTCGTTTCCTCGTGGATCGATCTTCTGTCTGTCTTCTACCGTCTTTGGTTCCTTAGAGGCTGTTTATAGCTGGGCTATCTATCGTCTTGCGGTCTGTAGGCCTGGCTATTATCACATATCGTATCGAGTATACTTCCAGTTCCTCTCTAGAGGATCCCTTAGGCAGCCCCGTCCTGGATGAGGCATTTCGGGGTATAAACATTGGCCAGAGAATCCCAGCCACAGTCTGCCAATTGATGGGCACGATGGGGATTCCAATCCAAGCCGCAAACAAATTCCGTGTGCTGTTCGTTGATCTCCTGTGGGGATTCGCCCCGTTCCAGATTCCAAATTCTGTGGTGGACAAACCGAACCTTTAGCTGGATGCCCTTTGACCGCATTGACCCCCGGACTTACCTCGTGGTAAAATCATAGTTGGCCGATGCCAAAACCGTCGACGAGTGCGGGGAACAGGCCAAACGTCGGACGGCAAACTCTCCCGAGTACAGCTCAAAGACGTGCGTCCGCATCTTGCGCAGATCCCAGCCTCGGATGAGGCCATCCGATCCCCCAGTCACCAGGATGTTCCGGTCAAAGTGGCTCCAGTCGCAGGCGAGCACCTCGCTGGCATGCGCCTCGATGCTCATCAGGGGTTTACCTGCAAAATCAAGGGAATTCCATAAGTTCAACTGCCCGTCGGTACTCACGCTTGCAAAGAGATTCGCGATCAGCGGGGAAAACTTTGCGCAATAGATCAAATCACTGTGCCCCACAAAGGTCGTGATGGAGTGCTGTCTGTTGCAGTCCCACAGCTTCAGAGTGCGGTCCCAGCTGGCGGATAGGAGCGTATGGTAGTTCCACTGCTCGCCCCAGTCCAGGCTGTAGATCTCGTTCTTGTGCTCCTGCAGGCAGATCAGCGGCTGTTTGGGCGTCTCCTGGCCCTCGGCCGCCTCGGCATCCAAACCGGACCAGATCTGAAGCGAGCCATCGCCGGAGGCTGTGGCTGCCACATCGGCGGCATAGGGGCACCAGGCGACGTCGAACAGACCATCCGACCACTCCAGACGGCACAGTTCACTCAGATTGGGGCTCTGGCCGTCTGAAGTCGAGTTTTGGCTGAGAAGAAAGAGAGAACCACCACCGGCCAGACCGTACAATTGGCTGCAGGCAGGAACAGGGTTAATGGTTAATGGTGGGCTGGATTTTGGGTGTGGACGTGTGAAGGACTCACCTTGTAGCTAGCAGCAAGTAGTTGGCCTCGAAAGGCGAGAAGCGCAGGCTATAGCCATGTCGATCGGTTGTGGTGTGTGTTTTGGATTGCATTTTCAGCTGGAAAAAAGAAAACCAAAAGAAAATGTTAATGGTAATTTACACAAGTCTGAAAATGATTAAATATATCCCCAAACTCCTTGAGTACTGGATATAAAAACAGTTTCCAGCGGGCTCCTACCAAAGCTCGGCAAGGGCCGCGGCTCTACTTCTGCACTCAGTGACCTTACGGTTTACAACAAAATTGATACGTATCTCTCGCTCTGTCATGCCCAGAGAAGAAGGTAGAACCCTGTGATCTGTGGGCTGTGGGCTGTGCTTGTTGGTCGGAAAATTGGAAAAATCGGTCGGGCGGCGCAATGGCCAATCGATATATCGATGTTTTGTTTGATCCGATTGGAAAGCTGCTGCCACTTTTAGGGCTTCAGCGCGTGGCGGCCTCGGGTAAGTTTTGTGCGGGGGAGGTGGAGAGTTCATTTTTTGGGTAGAACGGTAGCCTGCCTAATCCTTTGTAGAAACACGAAGGGAATTATGCAACAGTTGGGCAGTGGGCGATGGGCTACGCATGACCTCGCACGAGGTCGGAACACTAGTTGACATTAGCCAATTTGGTCAAACGTATTGAAAAACAGCAGAAAAGAGGAAAAGCAGAAAAGCAACCACCAAGCCCCCAAAAGAAAACGCGAGAACTGACATGTTTGCAGTTTTTCTTTTCTGCATAACGCCCAAATCCAGTTAGTGGCCAGAACGAACCGTACGGACAGGGCAAAGGTATATAAGCAGGTCGTACGGCACTGGGGTTTCGCATTTTCCTCCGGCAAACGGAAAACTCAGGAGCTCCCAGTCGTGGTCTCAGCAAAAGGAAACAAGCAAAAAAAAAAAAAGAAAAATCGCCAGTTATGGTTGTCTCCGTGAAGGTCTTCAAGAAGGCCACACCCAACGGCAAGGTCACATTCTATTTGGGCCGTCGCGACTTCATCGATCACTTGGACTACTGCGATCCCGTCGATGGCGTGATTGTCGTTGAGCCGGAGTACCTGAAGAACCGCAAAGTGTTTGGCCAGCTGGCCACGACCTATCGCTATGGCCGCGAGGAGGACGAGGTCATGGGCGTCAAGTTCTCGAAGGAGCTGATCCTGTCCCGGGAGCAGATCGTACCGATGACCAACCCGAACATGGAGATGACCCCGATGCAGGAGAAGCTGGTGCGAAAGCTGGGCAGCAACGCCCATCCGTTCACCTTCCACTTCCCACCCAATTCGCCCAGCTCCGTGACGCTGCAGCAGGAGGGGGACGACAACGGCAAGCCCCTGGGCGTGGAGTACACCATTCGGGCGTTTGTCGGCGACTCCGAGGACGATCGCCAGCACAAGCGGAGCATGGTCAGCCTGGTGATCAAGAAGCTGCAGTATGCCCCCCTGAACCGGGGCCAGCGGCTGCCCAGCTCGCTGGTGAGCAAGGGATTCACCTTCTCGAACGGCAAGATCAGTCTGGAGGTCACGCTCGACAGGGAGATCTACTATCACGGCGAGAAGACGGCCGCCACGGTGCAGGTGTCCAACAACTCGAAGAAGTCGGTGAAGAGCATCAAGTGCTTCATTGTGCAGCACACGGAGATCACGATGGTGAACGCGCAGTTCAGCAAGCATGTGGCCCAGCTGGAGACCAAAGAGGGCTGCCCCATCACCCCGGGTGCCAATCTGACCAAGACCTTCTACCTTATTCCCCTGGCAGCCAACAACAAGGATCGTCATGGTAACGAAAGAGCCTACAGCATTTAGCTTTCGTGGCAGTGGGAGTCTCTAATCTCTGTGTGGGTTTTCTTTAAGGCATTGCCCTGGATGGTCATCTCAAGGACGAGGATGTCAATCTGGCCTCCTCCACCATGGTCCAGGAGGGCAAGAACACTGGCGATGCCTGCGGTATTGTCATCTCCTATTCGGTTCGGATCAAGTTGAACTGCGGCACCCTTGGGGGCGAGATGCAAACGGATGTGCCCTTCAAGCTGCTGCAGCCAGCTCCTGGTAGGTCTCCAGGACACCCCCAGAGAGTACACCCGCTCTAATTGGTTCTCTGTCTATAGGTACCATTGAAAAGAAACGCTCGAATGCCATGAAGAAGATGAAATCGATTGAGCAGCATCGCAATGTCAAGGGCTACTACCAGGACGATGACGATAATATTGTCTTTGAGGACTTTGCCAAGATGCGAATGAACAATGTGAATATGGCCGATTAGAGGAACCTCTTCTGATATATATCTACGTTTGTCCACGTTTTTGTTGTAAAAACTGCGTCTCGAAAGCACTGAAAACTTGTTGCAGCAGCAGAGGAGGGTCTCTCTCTAAGGGCCACAGAATCTCTTTGTATTATAATCTCGTATACTCTCTATATAGAAAAACTTTGGTGGATCTAGAGTTTATATCCTATCCGGTGGGACCCCGAGTCCCCACTATATTATAAATGTGTGTTATGGCTATCTAGAGGACTCACCTTGTTGTATCTGTGTATCTTTGTATCCAAACTGTGCGGTAATCCTCAGTGGGTTATGGTTTGGTTTTGGTGTTGGTTTCGGTTTGGGTTTGGGTGCTTCGGCAGATGCTTAGGCTTTCAACTTCAGAAGTCGAATGATGGACAGAGCTGCGCGGCAGAACCAGGAAGGCTCTCTCTGGCCTTGTGCCTGCCCTTGGGGTGGCTCTAATGGGGTGGCAAAAGAAAGGCTCGCATAGGTCCACCTTTCAACCCCTGTCGACGGGCGCAAGCAACAGGCTTTTCCTTCGCGGAACAGCCAATCGGAATGAAGGAAGACTGGCCATGGCTGCTAACGGTCGGGCAGATCCTCCAGGAAGTTCCCTTCGAACAATGGGAGGCGGCGAAAACTCTTGTTGTATGCTAAATAATTCTAGTTCTGAACTTGCCCTGACCTTGGCGCCGAGCCGTCAGCAGCTGCCGACAGTTTAGCCCGGGCCTGAGAGTTGTATAAGCCGCAGCCATAACACAGCTGCCCCTGCCCCCTGCCCCCTGCCCCCCCGTGCACGCTCCACTCGAGCATTGCACAACCGGAGGAGGGGCAGGGACTGGGGGCAGCATCGATCGATTTCACACACCGCTGAACTCCTGGTCGCCCGACTTCCGGCCTGGAAGAGTGTGGTGTGGCCAAGAGCCAAGCCCCAAAAGAGGGCCAAAAGCGGGGCCAAAAGCGGGGCCAAAAGCGGGCCAGCTATGTATAAATGCCAATGCTGTTGTCAGAAATGCTGCCACAAATTTGACGAGAGTGCAACGCGATGGAGCTGCCCAGAAAAACTTTGAATGCCTTTGCCCTGCTGCAGCTAATCCTGTGCCTGCTGCTCCTGCCCGGCTTCAGCTCCGCCCAACTGCAGCACCAGCAAACGTACTATCATCCCCATCATCCCCGAGCCCAGCTGTACTACGAGGCGCCACGACTGAGGCGCTACGAGTATGCCCCGAGCGCCAGCTATATCTCTGGCTATCCGGTGGCGCCCGCTCTGGCAGGACACTATCAGCAGCAGCAGACGCCGAACTTCCAGCTGATAAACTATCGTCCCAGCTACCAGCCCATGGCCCTGGAGTACCAGCAGCAGCAGCCGCCCCCCCTGCCAGTGCCTGCCCCGGTCCTGCCCTCGATCTACCCTCAGCCGAGCGTCCAGTACCAGCAGCGATCCATTGCGCCGCACTCGGAGCTGTCCAAGTACCGTTACGAGGGGAATTACCTGCCCGTCCAGCGAGTGGCAGCTCCACCTCCACCTCCACAGTTCCAGCAGCAGCAACAGCAGCAACTGCGTCGCGTGGAGGAGCCTCTGCAGCAGCTGTACAACGTGCCACCGGCTCTGTTCACCAGCGATGTGTTGCACGTGATTCCGCCAAGGCTAGCCAGGCTGCAGGAGCAGCAGCAGCAGCCCCAGACGGAACGTCCCAGACGCAATGCTCAGGTGGATGCAGAGGCGGCAGAGACCAGAACCCAGCAAAAGGAGGCACCACCCATGAAGGAAACCAAGTATTTTCAGTAAGAAACACAGAAAGCACTTCTAAAGATCCATTCTGGGGATCGTGAAACCCTGAAACACTCAGAAACTTATCCCCGCATCATCCTCCTCTTCCTTTAGCGATATTTTCATGCGTTTCGATGGACCCCATTCGCGCTCCCACGGACATGTCCTGAAGCAGCCCAAGGCCGAGGAGCGACGCTTCGAGATGCAGCGTGGCACCAATCGCTACAAGGGGGAGGTACGGAGAGGAAAACACACAGCATTTCCCTAAATTTTTACGCTAATTCGCAAGGACTTTCTCTCTTATCCTGTAGGTGATTTGGACAGATCGTCAGGGCAGTCATGGCGAGCATCGCTGGGACATGGCCCAGGGAAAACTCTAAGCGAAAACGATCTCTGATGGAATTTTTTTTTTTTTTTTTTGCCGATTTCCATACCACCCTCTCTGACCCGCTACGCTCTTCTTTCCCTGCTCTCTCACTGTATATATCCATAATCATATATAAAGATCGTGACTTTTCATAATTCTCGTGTATTATTTATTTAAAGGCAATGATTTGGCGTGAAATTTCGAAGGAGATTTGCATAAGAAAGTGCGAGGGGCATGCCTCTCGTTCTCGGTCTCATTATTCCGTTGTCTAAGGTCAGTGTCCGGGGATCTTCTTGGAAGATTTTCTCACGCCGAAAAGTGGACGACTGATTGTCCGAACCGGTTACACAGCTTTCGAGGGAAAAGGTCAATCATGTCCGGGAACGGGGCAGGACGGCTAGGCTATCCGTTCGGCTAGTCGTAAACTGGTTCTCTCTCGAATGTCCTGCAGTCACTTGGCAAATAGTTACAGGACAAGACAGTCAGTCAGTCCATCGCGATGCGGGTCGACGGATATGTAAATGCAAAGGATCGCAGAAGGGGTTGCAAGATGCAGACGCCGCAGCAGCAGTAGCAGCAGCAGCAGCAGCGGGTCTTGTAAGTCGGTGACCTTAAAGAGGGGTTGCACTGTGCCACTGTGCCACTCATTTGCATATGTATCTTCGAATGACACGGAGAAATGCCCCTGCCCCGAGGCCGAACGGCGCGACTAGTGTCCAGTGTGTTGATGACCAGAGAACATCAAGTCTGAGGGAATGTAAGGCCGCTCCTAGATCCTGTCAAGATCAATACTGCTTCGCGTTGCATATGTAAATTGGTGGCAAGCGCCTTTGGGCCGGCCTCTATGGGCCTCTATGCGGGTCATTAGAGAAGCGATCGTCAGACCCGCGACTGTCCAGAACCGGTTCGTAATCGTCTTCATGGGCGATAAGGTCATCCTTTACCCCTTCTCTCTCTCTCCGTCTCTGTCTCTGTGGGTTCTCACACGCTTTGCCTTAATTTATGCAAGGACATTGCAAAAGGACACTGTCTGAGGCGATTGCGATTGCTGTCTGTGGATGGGTTCCCAAGTGGCAACCGGTCTGACCGGTCCGGTCCGAGGCGAGCCGTGTCTTCGGGTGACCACGATCCATCCGGAGGCCTCTGCTTGTGAGAACTTCCACATTAGATGGCCATGGATGGCCTTTGTCAGCGACTGCGACTGCCACTACGACTGTCCAAACGGGTTGTCCCTGTCCTCCTTGGCCGTTGTCCTTGCCCTGCAATGCGGCTGAGTGTCATTGCGATGCTGGGATCTCGCTTGGTCCTTGCCAATTGCTGAAGGGGTTACGACCATTGATTTATGCGCAAATAAATTTGTTTACCTCTGTGAAGGCTGGGAGATCTCTTCGGTGTGACCTCAATCAGAAGAATCACAGCGGAGTGGGGGTTTTGATTGGGAGTAGGTCAGATATAGAGCAGGGCGTAGGAAGCATAAGAGATGATTGGGAGATCGTGTTTGCTATAGATAGATGCATGAGGGATTTAGATCAATGTGGAATCTGTACTTGGAGATTCGATGGCTAGACCCAATGAAAAGCAAAGAATAGCTGGGAGAAACGATGGATCTCAGATACCAAAAGTACGAAAAAATATACGGAAATGCCAGCAGATTCCCTCGAAAAAGAGCCCACTTTCCCCTCAAAAAACACCACCTCCTCCGAATTATTTGAAATTTTTGTTTAATTTAATATTCTAAGCATGAAAGTGGAACCTAAAAAAAAAAGTCGTATGATATAGATACAAAAATAATGTTATGATCTCTGCCGATATCGACACAATTACAAACTACATGGACTTGCGGAACTTTCAAGACAACATTCAGACGAAGAGAGCGAGAGACCTGGCAGACCTCGGACGGGACTCCCATCTCCTGTTACTGGTACTGATGATACTGCGGCTGCTGCTGCTGCTGGTGCTGGTACTGCTGCTTGCCGGGGCTGTGGCTGTGGCTGTGGCTGGGACTGTACTCCTGCTGGCCCTTGTGGCCGCCGGCACGGAGCAGCTGTGTGGCAGGCGGCGGTGTGGGGATCTTCACCACAATGTCGGTGGGCTCGCGTATCACCTCGGCCTTGAAGCCCTCCTTGGGATCGGCCGTGTACTTGACGGTGCGAATGAAGCCATCGCTGTCGACCACCGAATAGCTGCCCTTGATCACGGATCCGTCGCGCACCTCCTTGCGGTTCTGGTAGTTGGTGAATTCGTCGTCTTTCACATCGAATCCGAACTGGTACGAGGAGTTCTGCTGCAAAGAGGCAATGGGAATGGGCAATGGGCATTGCAATTTCATTTGGGATTTCAAATGCGTGTACGACCCAGTTTCGTGTCTGGCCCGGAGGCGATTGCGTCATCGAACACACGCGAACAGGCGCATGCGTGTAGGCGCACCTCCAAGTCCCAAGTCCCAAGTCCCACTTCCCCAACTCCAGCTGCAGGCCCCCCCCCCAACCCAAGCCCGAGTCCGAGTCACCGACTCCCCGGATCACGCACAAGTGAAAGTATTTTCTGTGGAGCCGCTTGCATATTTTAATGGCCCACAAGGCGCACGATATCGGATCGGATCGGATTGATCGTGTGGTTATGCAACCGCCAGGCGGCAGGCGATAGGCGATAGGCGATAGTCAGGCCAGCCTTAGACTCCATTCAGGCGTTGGCCAAACCACTCACAAGGTTGGAGTCTCTCTTGCACTCTGAGAGGATGGGAGACCTTCAGGCGGCGCAAAGACAATCGGAAGACTGGGTTAAGGTAACCGCCAGAAGCATGACTCTAAGGCGTGGCCTGCAGTTCGGCAAATCTGCAATCTTTGGCTCCAAACAAAAAAGAGCTGAAAACAAAAAACTCTGCAAATTGGAAAGGCAAAAGCCAGCAAAAGCCAGCAAAAGCCGGTTCTAATGCGTGCACTGTCCGTTTGCAAGGCATTTGCTATGGGAATTGGGTCTTTGACAGCGACTGGTACTGCAACTGCAACTGCAACTGCAACTGGAAGTGCATGTGGCTGTGGAAGTGGCTGTGGAAGTGGATTGTTGGGCGTATATGGGTCGCCGTTTGAAAGTGATTGTATGGCGGAGAATGCAGCACTTTTTATGGGCCAATAAGACTGCCATCAAAATGGTAAGATCTAGAAAGAATTCAGCTCTCAAAGTGGGGGCTATAAAAAAGAATAATGCCATACTTATCATAACTGGAAACTAGGTAGTTCTTTTGATTGCCAATCGATGGAACTGAGGAATATACTACAGATTCGTTAGAGTTCCACAAAGACTTCCAAACTTCGAGATCCTGTTACTCGCTCTCTCAAGCGATCTACTCAGGTCTCTTCCCTTCTATGCCAAAAAGCCATCATCATCTTTGGGCTAACACCACAGTTCAATAAGTCTCTTTTCCAGACAGAGCACTTTGATCCCAGTCCCCATTCCAGGCAGAGCACTTTGATCCCCGTCTCCTTTCCAGACAGAGCACTTTGAGCCCAGTTAAAGCCAAACTCTGATGGATTATGGCTAATGTGGTAACGGATATGCAGCAGCTTCCGCATGAGCAGGCCATAAGCAAACTGCTGCTGCTGCTGCTGGCCAAGAGAGTAAACGGTTAACGGTTAACGGCCAGGCCAACGAACATGCAGCATCCACGAGACACAGACATGTGGCCGTGGCCAAAAACCACAGCTGCTGCTGATGCTGCGGCCACTGGAAGCTGTGTGGTTAATGAACCCCAAGTCAACGACTAACACCGCCTCCTACTGGCCAACCCCCCTGCCCCTGCCCCTGCCCCGCTCTGTTTGTTGCATGCCTCAATTGTAATTATGTTGCGGCACTGAAGCGAAAAGGAAAGTGCGCGAACATCGAACTCGAACTCGAATTCGAATTCGAACTCGTTATGGGATTTGTTGGACCCCAAACTTACGTCATCGTACTCCTCCTCCTCCTGCTGCTGCTGCTGCCGCTGCTGCTGCTGCTGCTGCTGCTGCTGGAGCGAGAGCTTTTGCTGTCCTTTGCCCAGGAGCGAGGGAGCCTGGTAGGCGGGCTGCTGCTGCTGGACACGGCGTGGCGGCGGTGCCGGAGCCGCCTGGACCGACTGGCGGTACACGGACTGCGGCTGCTGCTGCGACTGGTACTGCAAGGGGGAACGGAACCATAGGGCGTGCTCCAAGGAGGGCTGCGGGGGGTGGGGGGGGTACTCACCTGCGGCTGCTGCAGATAGTCCCTGACGGCCGGGGCCACATAGCCCTGCTGCTGCTGGGCGCGTATCTGCTCGGCCACCGTGTCCTTGAGGCGGATCTGCTGTCCCGCGTTCACGTACTGCTGCGTCTGCTCGGAGTTCTGCTCGTAGATGGGCGTCTCGGCGCCCTGCGACGACTGCTGCTGCTGCTGCTGCAGCTGCTGGTAGTACTGCCGCAAGTAGGCGGGGTCCACGCCCCCCTGCTGCTGCTGCGCCTGCGCAATGCCGCCGCAAAATGCGACCGTGGCCACCACAAGGAAAAGCTGCCTTTGGATTTTCATTTTTTTTTTTTTGGACACTTGAACAAACTTTTTCTATCGCGCACTCAACCCACTTTGGAGATACGTTTGTATCTGCGCTGTCTGCGGGCCCCAATTGCACTTTTATATCGACAAACGCCGGAGCGGACGCCTAGCAACTAGTTCTCTCTCTCTCTCTGTCTCTCGCTGTCTCTGCCGCTCTCTCGGGCCACTCGATGGCTCTTTACTGATTTACAACAGCTGTTTGCTGGCGGGGGCCATTTCCGTTGGCTCCCATTCGACGGCTATCATGGATGGTGGAGCATTGTCTGCCTCTACCCTCGACCTGTGGCATTGTTTCGACCGAAACTACTGTTTTTGGTGCTCCACTTGCGAATAGAAAACAACAATTACGTGATCTTAGGCCCGGACTAGGCCCACTGCTAGGCCCAGTGCAGCAGAGAGTGTACAGCCATGCCCGGTCTGTTAGTTTACATAGACAGCTGATGGACAGATCTGCACCTTGCCGGAGATCATGCAATCCCCTCCAATAAATAAAATGTAAATTAAATTGCGGTTGCCTCCCCAAAGACCCCATAGACGTGTACAGCGTGTTTCTTTATGCAATTGCCTTGCGGCTTCTTCCTAGCCATTAGATAATCCTCCTCTTGATGGGGTTCACATTCTTGAGGTCAACAGATCGAAGACCCAGCCGGCAACAAGTGCAATATCGTCTCGTCTTCTTGTCTATTGTTTCCAATGGGGGTTTGACCCAAATTGCTGCAAAACGTTTTTCAGTGTCGCTTTTGGACTTGTATCCGCCCACCAACCAACGAACGAGCCATCTATCTGCATCTATGTATCTATCCATCTTGTATCTTGTGTTGTGTTGCGTTGCGTTGCGTTTGCGTTGCGGTTGAATAGGTTCCGAACGATCTTTGATGTCGCTTTTGATGTTGCCAAATCTTTTGCATTCGCCCCGCAGCCCAAGCCATGTGTCATGTGATCGCACGTAGGACAGACCCAGCCCCAGTCCCAGCCCCAGTCTCAGTCCCAGCCCCAGCCAAGAGTCATTAAACCTCGATATATCTAAAGACCTCCTCCGTCTCTTTGGCAAAAATTTGATATTTGATGGGATTACAATTGCCTCAGAGTCTGTCTGGGACTCGTATTACTGTAACAGTTACGCCCTGAATTTGCATGGATATCTGTTCATCGGCAAGGTCATTCAGTGGGTGGGGGTTGGGGAGGAGCTGCAATCGAGGTCTTTGGCTCGCTTTGATCCCATTTGTGGTGTGGCCCCAAACAATCGCATTGCCCCGATACCCACGGAGGCAGCAATCAAAGAAAACTGATTTTGTGGCTTACTTACCCGTGAAGTGAAAGTACATTATGTGTTGTTTTGTGTTGTGTGTTTCGTTTCACACAATTGTTATGCACATTACACATGCACGTACAATATCACTCACCACACACCACACACTCTCCTCTCTTCGCCACTCTTAAGTGTCTTATTTCCATTCCAAATTAAAGTCAAATTTATGTTCATTTTTCAGCTCATGTTTGCGTATAATTTCAATATAAATACGTTTAATTTGTGAAGTGATTGATGAACGATTGTCCCGTCCACGTTCCACAGCGTCATGTTATGCAAAGATCTTTCGGCTACTCTTTTTTAGGGGTTGGGCCTGCCACTGGGCTGGGCCTGGGGAGGGCTGTACTCGTATTCAAATGATGATCAATTCAATTACGTTTGTGGAAAGATGTGGAAAGAGAGCCGAGAGCAGAGAGCAGAGAGCAGAGAGTATATCATCAGGTGCATGAGGAGCTCGCAAACCAGAAAAAATCGTCAAGCACTGCCGCATAACCGGTACTCAAAGAGTTTGCGGATAATTTTCCAACACTTCCGAGCTTAATACAATTTTATTTTATTTTTTTTTCAGAAGAAAACACACACCACAACCGGTCGATATGGCTTTAGACAGGTGAGTCCTTAACTGTTTCATACTGAGAGTATTGATCGACCCTAAGCCTTCCCCGGGCATAGTTCCATTGGGTTCTGCAGGACTCCTACTATACTCTTCCCGTTAAAACACCGACAACCGATCGATCATCTTCTCTTTACCCATTCGTTAGTTACATTTATTTAATTCAAACATTTCTATTCTTATTACAAATCCATGACTAGAAAACCACTCAGCGTCGAACAGAATGGAACACATTTCTGTTGACAAAGAATCAAAAAAAAAAAAAATCTAAATATATATTTAAAAAAAAAAAAAAACAAAGTTGCCTTTCATTAGTTTTGATTTTTGTTGTTTTTGTTGTTTTTGTTTCTTTTTATTAATTAATTTGAGTGTGTGTGTTTTTTGCTATTGCGTTTGGGGGGAGGACAGTACATGGGGGCTTGAGGCGGAGTTAATCGATATTTAAATTGTAGACATATCATAGATTTATTTCGATTTCAAAACAATTCACCAATTTATCATTAAACTTGTTAGTTTTGCTCTCACAATTTCGTCGTCGTTCATTAAATAATTTACTGAATAAGTTCAACAGAATTTCATTAAAAATCCGCTAAATATGTTAGGAGATAAACAGGAGATACCCCAACGCGTTGGATGATCTTTATCTGGAGATGCTGGCTGGCTGGCTGATGTTGTCGCTGCTGCAGCTTTTAATATTCGGTGGCACCAATAACGCTGTACATGAGACGATTGAAGGAGCCGCTCTGGCGTATGTTCTCATCGTGAGTGTTTACCACCTGCCAAGGGGGATCCACAGATTAGAGATATGGTCACAGATATACAAAAAGAATCATTATAAACCACTCACATTGTACGGCGGACGGGATACTGGGGCTGATACCGGTTTCTGTAAATGCATTTGGGAAATACAAGATATATTATTGAGATAGGAAATACTTATGTGTATCATAGAGATTCCACTAGTTTTCAGTGCAAAAAGTATTTGTAAATGCAATTCTCGAACTGTTATGAGCGTCTGTTAGGTGTTAATCGGATGTTAAAATGCACAAAGGAATACAAATAGTTGGCGGAATGATTTGGAAAATATACACAGAGATGGGGTTAATGGATGGCGGTCGTAGCGTATATCGATCGATCAAAAACCAAGTTAGTAGCTACTTTCGGCCATTAGTTAGTGGTCATTACAGTACAGAGCGCTTAACATTCTGCTAAGACATGGACATGGACACTGTTGACTAACATTCGTTGTGGTTCAACTGTACATGAAAGAGAGATAGACGGCGCGCCGTGGCTTACAGACATTAACATTTACATTTACAGAGCAATAGAGAGACAGCGCGAGAGCGAGGGCGAGATAGGAGGATAGAGAGAGAGACTCTTTGTACAGATGAGAGAGAGCTGGAGAATCGAGTGTATCGAGAGCGATCTTTGTCTGATAAGTACTAGAGTATCTTCCACATGAGATTGTGTGTCGATTGATTTTGTAGTAGATTTTGTTTCGAAACGATTCGGTTTGCGCACGGATCTTACCTTTCCTGGAACCAATCTATTCGGCTGATAGACCCTAGTCTGCACAGGTATGGTCACCTCCTGAGGCGAGGCATTGCCATAGTTGCCGCTGTAGCCGCCGTCTTCTTGGATGGCTCTGTAGGTCTCGCTGTTCCTTGGATCGTATTGGACAGTTTTCTTATAACTGGATCGGGGATTTCGGGGATTGTGCATTTGTGCATTTGTGGATTTTGCATTTTGCATTTTGCATTTGATTGATTTTTGAGATCGTTGAAAGCGCCATTACGTTATTTCAAGTTATTTTGTTTATTTGTTTGGTTAATCGAAAACAGAATATTTTATTTTGGTTTTTGGTTTTTGGTTTTTTGTTTTGGTTTTTTGTTTTTGGTTTTTTTTTTGTATTTTTACATCGGTTGAGTAGCGTGAGAGAGAGAGAGAGTAGTGAGAGAGAGAATAGAAAGAGAAAACAGGATGTGCACAAAATACGTTAGAATTATTTTGTTTTTGTTGTTGTTGTAATTGTAGTTGTTGTTGTTGTTCGAGGATGCGGCAGGACACATCTGTGCGTTGTCTCAAACATCATTTGAATTAATAGCAAAACTCATTAACAAATTCCTTACGAGCTAGTGTTTAAAAAGTAATCGAACAGAACTGCATAACAAAATAATCGTATAAACTATTCAAATCATATTCAGTTATCGTTTCGGATGAGTCGAAGCCTTAAACTGGGCCTTGGGGGATTAGTCTTTGGATTAGCATTAGCATCATCACGATTAATACTGGGAATGGGTGGGGGACTGGGACTGGGGCTGGGACTGGGACTGGGGCTTGCATTTTGTGGAGTGGATGATTATGCCATAGGAACTTTCAGTGCTAGTACTGTCTTCTGTGAAACATTTTCCATTAAAGTTAATTTTTCGAAAAAAGAAGTAAGAATAAGAATAAATTCAGCAAACGTCTTTTAACTTTCGGATTAGTCTTGTGGGTGGAGGGGGGGGGTATGGAAAGGGGGAGCAGGAGCAGGGGTTTATTTTTGGCTACTATATATTTCTTTGATCATTTATTTTGTTGATAGAGTATCTGCAGTTGGTGCTGTCGCTGTTGTCGTTGTTGCTCTGCGAGTTGTTCTTTTTGCTTTTGTTGCTCCAGTATAACACGTTTTTGTTCCAGGAAAGATAGATCGATGAAAATTCTAACATTAATCGTGCAGCTAAGTTCTAAATAGTACAGGATCTAATTTCTATTAAGCCTAGGATGGGATACTATGTCTTAGATTGGTGTTTTTTTCTTTTTTTCTTCTTTTTTTTTTTGTATATGTACTGTTTTTGTACTGTTAGGGTGGGGTAGGGTTCTGTTAGGCAGTTGTTGTTTCAGATCAATTGTTCTAGTTTTTATTATGGGTGCACAGGCACCTCTCCTACCAAAAGAAACACTTGCCACGCCACCTTTTTGTCTTGAAACGAACGAACAGCAGGGGGAATATGAGGTCCTAGATTCCTAGAGGGTATAAGTATGTACAAAGTAAGTTCTCCAACAACAAACACAGACTCAGATCATCCCGAGTTTTTGGCTGTGCCATTACGATATAATAGGCAAACATTTAGGAGCTACAGATACGGAGATACAGAGATATATGTACGGGCAGATATAGACAGCAGAGCACATGCAATTCGTGTTTGGACATGTATATTGTTTTTGGACTTGTTGTTGTTTCTGTTGTTCTGTTCTACTGGGATATAGATGTAGATATTGTATCTGGTATCTGTACATAAGTATGTATTGTTGGAGGTTGCAGTTGCAGTTGCAGTTTGTTTTCGGGTTGCGGGAGACAACAATCAATCATATCTGAGGGTTATATATGGTATTTTCTGTACAGACAGGCGGGGGGGAGTACAACGGATAAAACACGGGGCATAAACATTCTTCAATATTCATTATACAGTATAAATATCGCAAAAGTCAAGATTCAAGTTCTTCAAAGAAATCAGGAAATCAGGCTGTGGTGCTCAAGAAATCGAATTTACTTTTACCCGTTCAGTTTTGTTGGCAAAGGACGATGCAAAGGACTGTCCTTCAAGCGATAGCTATCGCTTGTGGCGAAGCTACAAACAATATACACAGAATATATATATATACGATAGATGTATACGATAGATATATACGATAGTTATAGATAGAGGCTAGTACATACAACATCTATGGACTGGTGTGTGTGTGTGTGGTGTGTGTGTGTGTGTTTCTCGTTTGTGTGTGGTTTTTCTTTGCGTTTTTTTTTTGTTTTTAGTAAATTTGGTCTTTGACTTTTTTCGGAAGCTTATTGGTTAGTGATTTTATGTCTGCAACTTAACTAAGAATCAATATAGTCGTTCGACTAGTCGTGGCTCGCTTTTATTAGTCGGTTCAAGCGCTATTCGAGTGGCGGTTCTGGTTCTCTCTCTCGCAAAAAATTAAAAGCTGCATCGAAATTTCGAAAAAAAACGTTCTACGCAAAATTTATTCAAGAAACTTTCAAAAAGAAAAATTATAGAAAAATCATAGAAAATATATATGTATGTACGTTCGATTTGACAAAGCGTTATCCAAGAATTCAGATCAGATATTAGTGCTTTTTCTGGTATCGAAACTCTAAGCATAAAAGTGGTTTCCAATTTGGTAAATTTTCTTGTGGGTGGGGCGGAACTTACGGAACTGTGGTTCTGATGGTGTCCTCAATGTTGCTGTTTGAGTAGAGGCCGATGGGCGAATTGAATTGCTTGTGGAAGACCTGCAACGGAAAAGGGGATTACAATCAGTCAATCAATCGATTGATTAACAGGGGGCAAGGGGGCAGGGGCTAGGGGGCATGTGTGCCCATTTGCTTACACGGCCAGTGTCGGCTTCCGAACCAACAACCTTGTGCAACATGGTATCGGCAACGCGTTGCTTCATGATACTGTCATGGTAGTCGTGTCCTGGATGGGCGCGCACAGCCGGATTGGGATAGTGCCTCAAGTAGGAGTCTGTCGATGGGGCATCCTTTTTCACCTTGGCACCGGGCAGGACCAGTGGAGTTGTACGGTAGGGCTGAAAATCGCAAACAAAAACAAAACAAAAGAACACCACATTAATGGTTTTGTTTATGCCATTCAGAAAAACACCATTTGGCAGCAGTTCTAACAAATAATAATAATAATAAATGAATCACAGAACGATTATGGGATACAGAATCGGAATCGGACTCGAAATCGAAACAATTTCTTGCTGTATTTTTCCCATCGGATCTTCTCTCAGTGTGTTGGATAGATAGATCGAGAGATGTGTGCGTGTTGTATAAACTTTATTTACCAAAATATTCCATTTTATGTACGATTTTGAGCGCCCGTTTATATACTTTAAAAATATCCCAGCCGCCAAGGCGAATATTTTTAGGCGCTTACGTAAGCGTGTTCTTTGCCAGCGGCCAACGGCAGCAGGCAGGCAGGCAGCGTCCAGCAGTTTGTATTTTGTGTGTCGGTCGTTCTTCTGCTGGCTGAACGTTTTATTTTTACCACGTAAGTAATTCAATCGCACGCGTAAAGCAGTTCAAAAACTGCAACAAAGCGCGCCCAATCGATTAGTCCAAGTGCAGCCCTGCGCCGACGTTGCCAGACAGTCAAGTCTAGCTTGAACAGCTGTTCTGTGACCTTTATTTTCCTGTGAATGGCAAAACATTTTGCGCGCTCTTTTTCTAACGCAGTTGATTTTTTTTTTACCCCGTGGCACTAAACCAAACAACTAGAAAATAAGTAGTGCTGTTCGCCAATTAATCAGAGCCACTAACACGCCAAAACCGCGCCTAAGCATGGCCGCCGTACGCCGCTCTACGCGTTTAAGCAGCATCAGCAAATCGACGGCTGCGTCGCCGTTGCCGCAGTCGCCGCGGACAACGACGACGTCACGACGCTCTGAGATTTGGCGAAGGCGACAGACCAAAGCCTCAGAAGACAGCAGCGACGAGGAGGAGCGATATGATATCATTAGTGTAATTTCAGAGAATAACGAAAACAGCAACCTGTTGAATAAAATGGAACGGACGGCGCGTCGCAGGACGGCCCCCGCAAATGTGATCCAAGAAGAGCCAAAGACGCCACGCAGCAGCAGCAAGAAGTCGATGGCCAAGGCGACCAGTCTGGCCAGGCGCGTGCAGGCCAGCAAAGAGGCAGTATTAAGCTATAACGTAACCAGCAACGACGAGGAGGAGCAGGATACCCATTCCCATGTCTCGCCACCGAAGCAGCGGAAGCTGAAGCCGCTGCCGCAGCATTTGATAAGTCCCTCGCGACTGCTGGACAGACTAAGCATCGACGAACGCCAAGAGCCAGAGCACAAGACTGAGAAGAAGCCACAGGAGGAGGAGGAGGAGCCAGAAGCTGCACCTGAACGTGCGCCTGCAGCTGCACCCTCGCCTCCGCGCAACAAATACCAAAATGCCAGACGCGTTCTGAACAGCGCAGAGACCCAGAATCTGCCAGGGCGCGAGGCCCAGCTCCAAGAACTGCGCGAATACTTCACCAGCCACCTGGAGAGCCAGTCGTCGGGCAGCCTGTACGTCTCGGGCCAGCCGGGCACCGGCAAGACGGCCTGCCTCTCGCTACTGCTGCGTGATCCGGAGTTCTCGAAGCGACTGCAACGTGTCTATATCAACTGCACCAGCATTGCCAGCGTGGGCGCGGTCTACAAAAAGCTCTGCGCCGAGCTGCAGCTGAAGCCAGCGGGTCGGACCGAACGTGACAACCTGGAGGCCATACAGCGGCATCTGCGCACCGCCAAGCGCATGCTGCTGCTGGTGCTCGATGAGATCGATCAGCTGTGCACGACCAGGCAGGCCGTGCTGTACACGATCTTCGAGTGGCCCGCCCTGCCGGGCTCCAGGATTCTCCTCGTGGGCATTGCCAACAGCTTGGATCTCACAGATCGGACGCTGACGCGTCTGAATGCCCGCTGCGAGCTAAAGCCCCGCCTGATGCACTTCCCCTCCTACACCAAGCAGCAGATCGTGGAGATATTCAAGTCACGGCTGGCCGAGGCGGACGTGCTGGATGTCTTTCCACCGGTCACGCTGCAGTTGCTGGCGGCCAAGGTGAGTGCGGTCAGTGGGGATGTGCGGCGCGCCCTAGACATTGGGCGGCGAGTGGTGGAGATAGCCGAGCAGCAGAAGCGCGACGGCGAAAGGGAGTTCAACCTGAAGGCCTTGGAATTGCCAGATGGCCAGGAGAAGGCAGAGACGAGGCCGGGTAAGATTGAAGATCAATGGAGATTGGACTTTTCACGAGAACTAACTCTTTGGCTGCCAATTACAGACATCATGAAGCCTGTTCAGGTCACCCAAGTGGCTGCCGTTCTGAACAAGGTGTATGGGGCCTCGCAAAATCTCGAGGAGGACATTGAGGCTGCCTTTCCGCTGCAGCAGAAGCTGATGCTGTGCAGCCTGGTGCTCATGCTGCGCAACGAGCGCAACAAGGACATTAGCATGGGTCGCCTGCACGAGGTCTATCGCAGGGTGTGCGCCAAACGGAACATACTGGCCCTGGACCAGGCCGAGTTCACGGGCACCGTGGACCTTGTGGAGACCAGGGGCATCCTACGCATCATGCGCAAAAAGGAGCCGCGCCTGAGCAAGGTCCTGCTGCAGTGGGACGAGGAGGAAGTGCATGCGGCCCTAAGCGACAAGCAGCTGATCGCTTCGATCTTGAACGACACCGCCTGCCTGAGCAGGTGACGATGAGGATGATTACCCACCCTTCACCCACCTCCGCCCTTCGGATGAACAGAACAGAAAATTAGTTTGCTAAACAATTTCTCGAGTTAATTGCGCATTTCTCACATTCTCATTTCACCTTGGGGACGCGACTGCGACGACGTCGAATTTTGAGCATTGAGAATACATATAAAACACACAAAAATGTACACTTTTGACGCTAAATTTAAAATTCGTGGCTGTGTGGCGCAAGCACACAAAATATTTTGAAATATCATTTGAGGGTCACTCCTCGCGACTTTGGCTTTTAATTGAATCGAATCGAATCTTTATGTTTTTGTGTCGTAAATCTAAGTAAATCTTGTCCCCCCCCCCCCCCCCACATAATCTTCCGTCTCTACGTTTATTTTGTATTTCATTTCCTGTTAGATCCTAAGCGTATAAGAAATAAATAAGTTCTGCAATAGACGGCGACAATCCATCCCATCCACAAAAGTGAAAACAATTCCTCACTTTCGCTGCTGAGATCGTGCCAGAAAATTTGTACCCGAATGGAGGTACCCTTTCCTATCGTTAGCGCTAATGTTTTCGGCCATTCCGAAATGAAATTAATTTATAATCATTTTGTTTATTATTTTTGCCTGCCTGCCTGGCTGTGTGCTTGCTCCGTTCTCTATACGCTCTAAAAATATCCCAGTTTTTTATTTTATTTTTTTTTTTTCTGGTGTGGTATGAATTACATTGAGAACGGAACGGAACGAAACGGAACGGAGAACGGAAAGAGCGCAATGAAAAATATGCTTAGCAAAATGTTCGAGTATTCGGAATCTGTCTGTCTGTCTTGTTGTTGCCTTTCAGCGCATATTGACGAAAGGCGAACAAATGTTTGAATAATAAGCCACTATATACACGAGTACCCGATCGAGAGAGAGAGAGAGAGAGAGAGAGAGGCACTACATATGTACTAGATGTATGTATATAGCCCCCATAGCTCTTTGCATATAGCTCTCTATATGTGGGGTGACTGCTTCTTCTTGCTTATAATTATATGTATATTTTGTGGGGGGAAAAAGTAAAATGAAGACCACAAGAATACATATATGTTATGTATTGCCACACAGTCGGCGGATGGATGGCTTGGCATTTGTATTTGAACTTGAATTCCAAGCACAAAAATGTTTGACGGTAAAGGTGAAATGAGAGAAATGTTTCAGCTGGATGGATAGGATCCTATACATAGACCGCTTCTAGGCAGTTGGAACATGTCTAGAAGACTTTGTTTATATGTTCTAAATATGAACAAGTATTTGTGGTTGATTGTTGGAGGGAATACTACCTATACTAAGGTAGGGATAGATTAGATACTATCCAGATTTAACAAGATTTCTTTGCCTTGATGGCATTTGGAATACTAATGAAGTGTTTTGTGACGTGAAGTCCTATTTCGTAGGTATTTTTTCACATCTTTAAAGGTACATATGGTTGAGCTTCCAAAGTGTTCAGATCTGATGGGTATCCACAAGTTAGGCCAAGGTTGTGGGTATGCTTTCCCTATTCGGTTATTGGTCCAATACATTCAATAAAGAAGAAAAATGTGTGCCTTCCTTTAGCGATTCAGCATTGGAATAGGAAATGCCAGCAGGATAATGAACCGAAGCACTCCTGAATGCTGGTTCCTGGACAACAAAGTTCCCCTGATCGAATGGCCTTCACAGTCGCCACACCCACCGTTTTTAAGTGGTTTCTATAGGTCCCAAAAAAGGAACGAAAGTTAAATCCGAAAGACAATTTGTAGCAAACTGGTGGATTCCATGGATTCCGAAGTTAACAAAAATTGGAAGGTAGTGCCACAGTCAATATTAAATTGAAAATTTAAAACTACTAGCCTTTGAAGCTTGAAAATTGTTTTTCCTAGATTTAAATCTGTAAAGTCTTAAATGAAGACTTTCAAATCTTATTGTTTTGGTATAACACCTCTCAAAAAAAAAGGATGAAACTCAAAAAAAAAAAGAAAAATTCACTTAAGAATGTTTTGAAATATACGAATAAAATATGCCGTTTCTATAATGTATTTTGGTCGATGTTTGTATATTCTCACGTAATTTGTAGTATAGTTCACTGTCGATTTCGCTTACTTGATATTGAATGCACTCATTGAGGTCTGGCTGCTCCTTGTAGTAGACTGGGGATCCGTTTTTGAACTGAACGTACTCCATGTTTATGTTTTTGTTGTGTGTGTGTGTGTGTGGGGGTTTTTTTTTCAATTTAAACTCCTTTAATTTGGTCAAAATTAAAAACAAAAAAAATAGAAACGAGAACGAGAAATATTATAGCCAGAAAAAAAGAAAAAAAATTACGTAATGGTGGTTCGATCACGTCAGAATTGAGTTCTTTCTGTGTCCACAATCTGATGGGTTTTTGTTTTATTTGTAACTTGCTTTTTCGTCACGTTTAAATCAAAACGCTGCAGCTGGTGGTTCTTTACGGAGGACTACAAAGGATCTCAGTGGATTATTCGCTCGAGTCTTATTGTTGTTTATTTTTCAATATTCCGAACGCAACTGATTTGAAGATTTTCAAATGCTGGCGAATTATTGCTATACCGACTGCGCGGAATTCCAATTTTCGTATATATGTATATATGTATCTATATCTATATAGATCTATAGATATATGTGGATGCTCAGAGCAGCGACGGTCTTATGTATGTATAATCGTATTGGTTGTTGGAGAGTGTGTCCATGTGTCTGCCTATCCGTATGGTCTATGGCCCATACATCCATCCATATATTGTAGAGCCGATGGTCAGAGGCCGCCCGCCCACAGGCCACAGGTTTCCGTCGGTGTGTGAGAGTGTTTCGAGTGTGAGAGAGGAATATACAAAATATTGTATGTTTTCTTGTACAAATAGATGTGTTTCCCCAGAGCAGAGCAGAGCAGAGCAGAACAGAGTAACAACCACACATAGTACACGTATAAACTTGGACTTGGATCGAGAGGCGTTCCACCACCCACGCGACATTCATATAAAGCTCCCCCAAATATATGTCGACCTGATTGTTTGTCCTGACTGGCCCGGCCTGGTCCGATGAATATTATTCGGTTATAACCATCTCGTATATATCATTTAATTGCCGCTATTTTGTGGAGCACAAATTCTGAGATACAATTCTTTCACAATTTCGTATCGAGACCGAGGTTATTGTTTCGCCCGAATGCAGGCAGAATCGCTCAAAATTAGATGAGAAATGTATTTCGCAAATTTTCACAGCCAGAATAACATTATTGATGTGTTCAGTTTTGTTTTAGCTGATTCTCAGTGACACTGAAGCCCCTGCCCGCAAATTAGTCAACGATTTGTGACAGTTCCAAAGACACACACTTTTCAGGGTATGGGGATGAGGATGAGAATGAGGATGGCTATTGCCATTGGCATTCTCTGCCTATCCCAAGTCCCATGGCTGTCAGTACCAATTGGCGTTGGCACAGGGCATTGATGTCTTCGACAGATCCCAATCACACAGCCAGCCAGCCCCAAACAGGTCTAATTAGCCTTCAAAGGCAGACACACACCTTAAGTTTTCAAGTTCGTTGGCATATCCAAGGAACTCGTAACTTTACATGGAAATATGTTTACGTTTTGTATTTTTCCAACGCGCTGTGAAGGTTGCAGCTCTTTTTTTATTTGAAAAGAAAATGCTACAATAAATATCGTTCTTAATGAGTTCTTAAGTCGTTTTATGGCTACACCAAAGCGAAAAAGCAGAAAACAAATAAGAGACATGCCTTGATTTCCCATAAATTAATTCAAACAAAGGTACAATAACCTGTTCATGGATAAATAGCTCTATAAATAAATGGTACGAGCAGAAAAACGATCCACCTTTGAGGTCAAATGTTCTGGAATCCTAACAACTGATGACAAATCAAATCGCAGATCATCAAAAACATACTGTATGTGTACGAGTATGTATGATGTGCCTATGAAAGCACCTTGTCTATTATTTTTGGTGCTGCATTGGCCAAGAAATCCGGCGACCTTGGGTGGTGTCTTGATTCATTTGCCGCGTCATCGCCCACCACTGGGGGAACCTGGGGAAGGTGTTCGTGTGGGTGGTTGGGCAGGCACTTTCTTTCATTGGCATTGTCAGAGCACATCACAAGGTGGGCTGGCCCCCACTCGTGGACAGGCATGGATCAAGAGCAGGCCCAAAAACCCCACCCTCTCACCTGTGTGGGTGCTGTGGGAGCTGTGGGCCGACTGCAAGGTGCCCGAAAATAGCTCAAAAAATATATTTTCTTGTTTATTTGCGTCTTTGGCTTTTGGCATTATCCGATTAGTGGATTGGGGGCGAGAGAGCACCTCTTCTATCTTGCTGTACTTGTATCTGTATCTGTATCTGTATTCGAATGTGTTTTCATTTCTGTTTTCATCTGATTTGATTTCTCGCCAATTTCCACCTGTGTACTGCGTCACTGGGCGTCTTACTCTTCCTGTTTAACGCCTCCTCGCTCTCTCTTTTTCGGCAAACCGATTCCGACCCCACCCCTCTCTCTGGGGCTATTTCTGGCGGATGTAAAATCAGTCCAACCTTGACCACACAACATTTCTATCCTCTGATGTCAGCGTTACACGCAGAGAGATAGAGATAGATCCCTGTTAGCGCCAGCCACGAACCACTAAACGCCAAATGAAATTATTTACAAACAACAAAAGTGATTCAATCACGAAGATAAGGATGAGGCTTGCTGTGGAATTGTTTAAGAATTTTCACAAACATTTCATTGTAATTTTTCCCTATTCGAGTTGTTTTGATGCACTGCAGATAGAAAATTTGCTACTCCCTTCCTCGAGTAAGGTGGGCGTTTTAAATCTATTCCAATCGGACAATTTTTTGAAAACAAAAAACGTTATGCCTCTAGAGTCTTAATTCTACATCTATTTTACATGTATTCTACTAGAAATTCCACAGCTTTGAGCTTTTTACTGTATGCATTTGCTTACCTCGCGTAGAAAGCATGTAAATGTCGATTCATTTATGACCAGGAGATCCTTTCTTATGGTCAATCAAAAATCAATTTTAAAAAATAAAACCAAGTGAAAAACGATTTAATAACGGAATCAATTAATGGAACCTCTAAGAAATGATTTATACGTGCTTAAACCCTGTTTTCAGGTGTCTCTGTGTACTACATTTTAAGGTAGATGTCATGTAGAAAAGTGTGTCAGAACCAAATCCATACATAAATATGGTTTATTCTATATACGAATTGAGGTGGAAGTAGATGTGTGTAACACCGAGGCGGAAGCTTTTCCGATC